CTCCTCTCCCCTCCCCTCCCCTTCCTTTCCTTTACTAATTTTTATCCAAACATAAGCTAAAAAACAAGATTGTTTTAAGCAAATTTAAATTTGAAAGATAGTTGGAGGAAAATTCAAAAATCAACTCTTAAAGTAATTATTTGGTAAATTTTGAAAAAGTTCAGACATATTTTTTTCAAAACATGCTAAAAGTTAATTACTTCAAAAGCAAATTTTCAAATTCCCTTCCAAAATTTTAAATTTGTGAGAGAAAACTTTGCTTAAAGTAAACTTGTTTTTTAAGCTCTCCCCAACCACCCCCTGCCATTCATATATCAATGAGGCTTAGAAGCCATACATTGTAGTTGGAGTAGTTAATTACTCCCGTTACAGCATAATTACATCAAAAACAAAATCCACTTTCTTACATATTCAAATGGGTCTATACCTACTGCATTACAATTGAACTAAACAAACGAACAATTTGCATTGGAGTGTCCAAGTAAACTCCAACCGTCTAACACTCCTCCCTGAGACTTTGCTCGGAAACTCCTAGCTTGCTTCTCAACACAATTCAAACTTGGCTCTAGGCAGAGCCATGGTAAACATATCAGCAATCTGATCATCTGTGCTGCAATAGGTTAGTTCAATCTCTTTGTTCTTGACAAAGAGGTGCAGCACATGAAACTTCACAATGATATGCTTTGTTCTGCCATGGTGAACTGGATTCTGAGCAATAGCAATGGCAGATTGATTATCACAACAGAAGATACATGATTCAGATTGATCAAAACCCCAATCTCTAACCAGCTTTCTCAACCAAACAACATGATTAGAAGCACAAGCTGTAGTGTTCAGCCTCAGCAGTGGACTAGTTGCTTATGAGAACTCCATGCAAATGCACCTGAACCAAAATGAAACAGATAGCCAGTACTGCTTTTTGCATCCTCATAATTAACAGCCTGCCCAATCACTGTTGGCATACCCTTCTAAGACACCAGATTTCTTCTCAAACATTACTCCAAAGCCTGTGATGCCTTTGAGGTACCTTAATTAAAACTCTTTTGGTAGCTCCAAAATGTGACTTGACTTGGAGCTTGCATGAAACTGGACAGTAAACTGGCAGGAAACATCAAATCTGTCCTGGTTGCAGTGAGATATAAACGCCTTCCCACTAAGCTTCTGTAACTTGAAGCATTAACCAGCATATTTTCATCAAACTTGGACAATATCATATTCAAAACAAGAGGTGTTGGCACTGATTAAAAATCTTCCATGTGAAATTTTTCCAAAATGTTTAAATATACTTTCTTTGTGAAGCAAAGATTCCTTCTTCAGATTGAGTAATATCCATACCCAAAAAATAACTCATTGTACCGAGATTAGACATTTCAAATTCTTTCATCATTAAAGATTTCAACTGATGCAATAGCTGAATATTACCTCCTGTGAGCATTAAATCATCAACAGACAAGGACATAATCAATTGAGAATCATTGCAGGTACCTTTAGCATAAAGTGTGGGCACATTTTCATTCCTCCTGAACCCTGCTGGATAAGAAAAGTGTCTATCTTAGTGTATCAGGATCTAGGTGCCTGTTTCAAGCCACGGAAAGCTTTTTTCAATTTATAGACGTTGTCTTTGCTGCCTGCAATTACAAAGCCCTCAGGTTGATCAACGTAAATATCTTCTTCAATAAAACCATTGAGAAATGCCGACCTGACATCCATATGAAACAATTTCCAGCCTTTGCTAGGTCACAAGGCCAATAAGAGCTTTACAGTGTCATGTCTTGCAACAGGAGCTAAATTGTCTCCAAAGTCAATTTCTGCTTCTTGAGCATAGCCCTTGATGGCCAATCTTTCCTTACGCTTGTAAATTGAGCCATAGGGGTTCAATATTGTTCTTTAAACCCATTTGACTCCAATCACCTGTGAGGTCCCAAGTCTGACTTTTATTGATCATAGTCATCTTCTCCAGCATACTTGATTCCAAACAGCATGGTTTGAGGCTTCTTCATAGTCAGCTGGCTCAGATATAGCCACATTGCATCTCTCATAAATGTCAGCAAGTGATCTGGTATCATTGAAGGAGAATCATGGTGTGCATCAACTTCTGCAATATCTGAACTTGAGTTTTCTGCTTTGGAAGCTTCTGCATTATTAGTTTTCTGGCTTGCAGTATTGTTCTTCAAAACCTGCTTCGTATCCCAGTCCCGATACGTATATTCATCAATAATCAAATCTCTAAGAACCGTGACTTTCTTTGATCGCAAATTGTAAACCATGTAGCCTTTAGACTTGGTTCCATAACCAACTAAATAACCTTTTTCTGCTTTTTCATCCAATTTTGATCTTTTAACAGCAGGTATATGAGTGTAACAAACTGATCCAAACACCTTGAGACGATTGGCAGAGCACTTGAGAGCAAACCAGGCTTTAATAGGAGTCTTGCCTTTAACTGCCTTTGTAGGAAGGCCATTTAAAAGATAAACATCTGTATATAGAACCTCTGCCCAGAATGATTTGAGCAATTTTTTTCTCAAAAATCATGCACCTAGCCATTTCCATAACAGCTGTATTTTTCCTCTCAGCTGCACCGTTTTGTTGGGGTGAGTAGCTGACAGTTAACTGATGTGCAGTGCCAGCATCTTCACAGAATTTATCAAACTCACTGGAGGTATACTCTTTTCCATTGTCTGATCTCAGTGTCTTGATTTGGCACCCACTATGTTTTTCAACTAGTGCCTTGAACTTCTTAAACATAGAAAAGACTTGTGACTTGCTGCTTAAAAAATGCGCCCATGACCTATGTCATTCTAGTGAAATCATCAATGAACAGGATGAAATAAAGGTTCTGATTCAACGAAGGTGTCTTCATAAGCCAACAAACATCTGTATCCACCAATTCAAGTTTTTTCTTAGCTCTCCAAGATTGATTTGTTGAAAATAGTAGCCTATGAATCTTGCCAAACTGACAGCAATCACACACATCATCAAGCAATTGAATCTGAGTTATATCCCTAACAAGCTTACTAGATTGCAAGAACTGAAGCAACTACAAATTAAAATGACCATATCTTCCATGCCAAAGCAAAGTTTAATCATGTTTAGCAACTAATGCAGAACCAGCAACAAGATTCCACTACAATGGAAAGCAATTATCAACCCTACTTGCTTTTACAATTTCATCGTGAGATGAATCATGCATAAAGCATGCATTAGCAATGAAAGAGATAGAATATCCTTTCTGCAACATTTCAGCAATACTCAGCAAACTCTGGCTTAAACTAGGAATGTAAAGGACGTTAGAGATACATTTGTACCTTTCTTGGTTTGAATAGCAACTGTACCTCCACCTTCAGACTTCAGAATAGTGCCATTGCCAGCTTGACACTGATTTGGACTGATCTGTCCAGATCTGCAAACAAGTCCTCATCTTTGGCCATATGTCTGGTGTAGCTACTGTCCACATACTAGGAATGCTTCTTTGAATTTGTAGTTACATGTGCAGCCATAAATAATCTTCTGGCTTATACTCATCTGTGAAATTTACTTTTTGCTAAGTCTGTTGTAGCTGCCCTTGATGATGTTGTTATCCTTTTTGCTGTGGCTGCCATTGTTGCTTTTGCCTACAATATTTTTTCTGAATAACCAGTCCTTTTGCAATAAGTGCAACGAAACAAAGGTTTGGTTTTAAACTAACAATCCCTCTCTAAGTGATTAGTTTTATTGCAAATTAAGTGGACAGGGAGGAAATTTTCCTCCTTTTGATGGCTCCTTGAAATTTTCTGATGCTTTTCCTTTCCAATTTCTGGCCTGTGGCTGCATTTTATATCACTGTATACAGGTTGCCTTCTTCTTTGTCTTGCTTGGAAAGCATCTTCAGATGTTTCTTCCATCCTTATTACAGCTCTTTGCTCATGACCCTTCAGTTTAGCAATTCACTCAGATATCTTTAACTCTTTCAAATCACATGTTTCTTCAATTGCTGAAATTCTGGGCTCAAATCTTGCTGGCACTCTAACCATCATTTTTTCAACAACCCTGGTATCAGGAAAATTAGCACCTTGTAACCTTATCTTATTTGCTAAATCATTGAGCTTAGTAGAATATTGCTGCACAGTCTCTGTTTCTTTCATTCTAACCAGTTCAAATTCTCTTTTGAGAGTTATTAGATCGTTTGCTTTTACACCTGAGTCTCCTCCGTACTCAGTCTTCAAACACAAGCTTCAATAGAATTTCCAATGCTGACTATACTAGGAAATATTGAATCAGAAACAACATTAGGAATAAAAGAGAGTGCCTTGAAAGTACCAGCTACATAGTCTGAATGTCTCTTCTATTGGCCCAGAACTGATAATTCTCACCTGTGAATAGTGGTAGTGAAGACAGTGAGCCTGATGTTGTTGATGAAACCAGGCTGTACTATGGTACACAACCAAATTCTCCCTAAAACCACTCATGTTTACTCTCTCACACCACACAAATGAAAGATAAACACAGATCCCTCAAAAATGAAGGCTTTAATATCAATTTGTTGGAGAAAAGGTGAACAGTGGTCAGTGGACGCTACAGAAAATGTAGAAATCTAAGAGAAACAATTGAGAAAATAGTTCTGAATTTCAATGAGGAAGCAATGGTAGTCAGCTTCCTTATTGCCATTCATATATCAGTGAGGCTTAGAAGCCACGCATTGTAGTTGTAGTTTACCTTCTCCCATTACATCAGAATTACATAAAAAAAAAAAAACCACTTACATAATCATATATCTTACAGATTCACATGGGTCTACACTTACTGCATTACAATTGAACTAAAAAAAAGAACAAAAATTTGCCTGTGAGTGTCCAAGTAAACTCCAACCACCTAACAGATTGTGACTTTTAGGTTGGAGGAAATCTCTCCAACAATGTTACTATTATCCTAATTTAATTTTTTTTTATATATAAATTATCCTAATTTAATTAATTGGTTAGTTTTTATCTGTTTTAAAGGCGTGGCATTTGTAATTTTGTACCACATTTTAAGAGGTAATTTCGAAAGTATTTATCCTTGATTTAATTTATTTCTTTTTTGCGCAACATCTTTGGTTAGGGAGGAGGAGAATCGGGAGATGAAACATCCAGCATTTATTAGAGTGATGCTGAAACCGTCATTCTTGGAGGATAATGAAAAACAGATGGACAATCTTCAGAAAGCCTATGATCACTTCACCGATTGGAAAAATCGCAGTCATCTCATTAAGTTTGGCAATTACTTGGGGAACGAATGGCTAAGCACAATACAAAATGCTCCAACAGACAATCTCATCAGACAATTATGGGTAAAAATGAGGCCGCCGATGGAAGAGACGGCAAACCCTTGGGATCTTAAACTCCTAAAACCTGCAGAACTCTTAACATTCTACAGGAATGTTAGGCATCATGCGAAGAAAGAGGTGATTTCTTTTTTGTATCATATTGAATTCTTTCAATTTTTTTTTTCGCTCAGCTATTTTGCATTTTGAAGTAACCATACTTCTGCGTTTTTGCAGTACCAAGTGGAGGAATCTCTTTCTCAAGTTTTGAACAAATTCAATGAGCTTTTGAATTTATCGCAGAAGGTTGAAACTGCAATCTATGAATTTGCTAGACAACTACCAAGTGGAGTGGAGGACTTTTTAACTTCCGTAGGATATTGATCTAGACTTTTGGATGAGTCTTTTGATGACTTGACTTCGGTTTTCCCTGCTTTTAATACTTTGGGTCGGGTATGTTGTTTGTAGACATTTCAAACTGCAGATTAGGATTTCGGATATCAGGAATATGTTGGTTTGATTGGCCCTTATCTTTTTGTTTCAAATTATGACTTTACATTTTTGTCTCGAATTATGACTTTGTTTTTTTCATCTGCTAGAGAAGTAGGTAAAGACTGGGAAATGGAGGAAAGGAAAGGAGAGGAAAAGTGGCCTTATTTTAATCAATTAAATTAAATTGTTAAGCCAACGATATAATTTAATTGAGTATAATAATTTTCTCTTCTTTCCCCTTTTTCTTCCCTTAAACCAGAAGGGCTCTTAAGCTTCATTTAATTGATCAGTACAAGAAAAATAGGCTTCCAGCAGGACCTCGATTGATGTGTTTCTTTTAAGGAAAAATGGATTATCATTGTCTTTGTTTATGTTGCGAGTTAGAACAAATTATGATAATTCAACCAATCCTAAGGATTGGTTGATATTTTTTAAAATTTTATAAATAGAAGCCTTTAGTTTTATAATTATTATTCATTTTCCTTAATTTAATTCTGAATTCATTTATTCAAACAACAGTTTCTTGAAATTTTTGAACATTGAACCGTATCTGTTAAAAGGAATATTGAAGTAACAAATTGTTATTGGGCTTAAGAAGGCGCCGTGGAAGTAAAAATAAAAAATTTTTCTCTTTGAACCTATCTAAGATCTTTATAATCCATTGATGATTAAGCAAGATTTGTGATCAATATCTCATTAATGCGTGCATTGTTGGGATGTAGGTCTGATCCATCTTTAAACAGGGCCTTGGAGTCAAAGTGTAGGACTCCTCTAGTAGTAACCTACACATACACTCGTGAATTTGAAGCAAACTAGATGTCTAAGTTGCTAGCGATAGAAAATGTAGTTGAATCTTCTTCTTCTTGATAGAGAATATTTAGTAACCTAAATTTTATAATACAAAAGTTGTGGAATTAGGTTTGCTAAACTATTTATGTTAATATGCAATAGAAAGAGTTGCAATTCTAATCCAATTAGAATTACCTAAACTCAGTCTCTGTTGGTGCATGTTTATGTTAGTGGCTAGTTAAATGGTGATGTGGCCAATTAAGAGTGTGTAACATCTCAAATCCCACATTGAAATAGAAATGTGAGTGTAATTGATATGTAAGTGTTAAAATTGTTGAAGCAATGGCATCAAAGTTGTGATGTTGCTGCCACAAGATAGCAAAATGTTGCAACAAGAAGTTGTGTTTACGGGACAAGTTGCTTCAATGGAGGAAAGAAAGTGCAGCAAGTAAGCTCCATTACAGAAGAAAATGACATGCAAATGAAGGCTACAAATTTGTCAACAAAAATGCAGTAATGTGATAGTATTTCAATGTACTTTTTATATTAGTTTATGTGTTACAATCTTTGATTAAATGTTAGGATAGATTTTGTAGGAAACATGGACCATAAATCATGGAAAGTAGGTCAAGAATATTGTTTTTATACAAAATATTTATACTATAAATGGGCACATATGTTAAGGACAACAACTTCTCCTCTCCTCCCTTGCATGGCTATGTAAAATTCATGTTCTAAGTTTGACTCTTCTCCTACTCTCCTCTAAGTCCTATCTCTTTTTACCTCAAAAATCCAATAGAGATTAATTATTATCAACAATTGGAGTCTAAGCCTTTAAGGGCACATGGACTTTAACCCGAAGGGTTTTAGGCAAGAGGCGAGTTTTGGCCTAAGTCATTTTAGTTGGTATCAAAGAGGTCACCTCTCGCATGTGTGGGAAATGTTAACCATCATGATTGTTGATTGTGAGGACTTCACTTTATTTGAGATGGATCTGATTTTTATGGCCTAGTGAGCCTTGTTTTAATTGTGATTGGATTTGATATGGAAATCAAGCATTTAAGTGAGGGAAATTGTAATGCCCCATATCCTATATCGAGATGAAAGTTTGAATGTAATTGGTATATAAGTGTGGAGATCAATCATTACTAATAAGGATAAAGTCAAAATTTTGAGTTAGGGAGCAAAATTTTAAAATTTTTTTGTGAGTCATTTAAGTTTCATTTGACTATATTTTGTATAAACCTTTTTCACAATAACTTTTATAAAAATGTAAATTTATTATAATTAATTAATATTTTATATTTGGCAAAAAAATTAATATTTTATATATTTTTACTAATTGTGATTAATATTTTATATATTTTTAAGATACTAAAAGATAAAAAAAAAAACTTATACTTACGGCACAATACTGATAAACGAAGATTTAACAATTTATATTAGTATAATTTATATTGATTTTTAAATCAATTACTATTTTTATGCATGGACCACTTATATCATCCATAATAAATTTTATATTTAACTAGATATATTTATCTATTTTTAAATAGTATAAAATTTAAGATAGTTAAATAAATAGTATAAAAATATAATTTTTTTTGTAAGGTTATATATATCAAATGAACTTTGGTTTAATAAAATATAAATCATACCAAAAATATCATATATATAAAATGTAAAAAACTTATATAAGTTTATCTCAAAAAAACTAGATAGTAACTATTTCTATATTTATTCATAACTAAATAAAATTATCATGTTTTTATAAAAATTAATCACAAAAAGAAAAATGATCCCTTTGCCTAGGTCCTAAATGTTTTTTTGTATTTGAATACTCCTTATAATTCAAATTAACTTCAAATATAAAATTTTGTAGAAAATAAAAATTGAAGTACCATGTTAACATTTTTCAAAAGCTTGGGGGGCCGTTGTCCCCCTTTCTTACACTAGCTCCATTCGTGACTATTAGCAACTTGAATTTAAACTTTTGAGGGCTCATGAGTTAGCTTAAAGAGTTATTAGGCAAGTGGTGGGTTTTGATCCGGGTTGTTTTAGATAGAGCACACAAAAAAAATGTTGTCAAAGAACTGGATTTGCTAGTTAGCATAACTCAAGAAAAGAATTTCAGGTGTCAAAACCTTCATCTTAAGCTTTTGATGATGCTGAGGTTGTCGAACAGGTAGATGGTGTTTTATTAGTGAGTGACGAGAATGGGCTACCTCTGGAGTTTTGTCATGACTGTCAAAGCTTACTTGCTTGATAGCTTTGAAAAACAAATGGTAGTCCCTGCCATATGGAATGTGCAGCAATTACCATGAAAAATAGAAGAAAAAAAAAGAAAACTACACATTCATTTCACTCCTTATGCATTATAAAACTCTCCTCTTATTTCATGATATTCTTTTCAGACACATCAACAAAAGAAAAAAAATTACAAGAAGATAGGCGAGAAAAGAAGTGACAAATCTGAAGAAATTTCTAACATAATGAGGAAATCTCTAATGGTAGAAATCTGATTATAACATTGTAATAAGACAAACAATATAAAAGATAAGTATGAGAGAGAGAAAGAGAGAGAGGAAGACATATTACGTGATTCGGGATAATACCATGATGTCATGATGCATCAAGGCCTCCTAGTCCACGATACAAAAGCCTCTATGGGTTTTGTACATTTCTTTCTATTCATATTTTTTTTTACATATGAGCAACTTTATTTATTGGAAAAGAGACACATTATATAAAGAACTAACAATTAATTGGAAAATCCTATTAACGAGATTAAAATCAATATCAAATCCTTGAAATCAATATCAAATCCTTGAAATCAATCAATTAATAAATTGATTTGTCCTTAATTGATCAATTTTCATAATGACATGATATTCCTTTCTTCTATAATCAAATCAATAATTACATGATTTGATCTCCTTCTTTCTTCCTTTTATAATATGATCTCCTTCTTTCTTCCTTTTATAATATGATCTCCTTCTTTCTTCCTTTTATAATATGATCAAGCAAGAAGTTGTCGTTGATTCTACAGTAGAGTCTGAGTGTATTGTGGCTTTTCAGGCAACTAAGGATGCAGTTTGGATCCACAGCTTCATCATGGAGCTTGGCAGTGTGCCTAGCATTGTTGATCCAATGACCATATACTGTGACACCACCACAGTAGCAACACTTGCCAAGGAACCTTGGTCTCACCAGTGAACTAAGCATATATTATGGAAATACCACCTTTTAAGAGACTTTGTGCAAAGAGGTGATGGCGTAATTGGTAGAGTTTCAACAAAAGATAATGTTGCCAACCAACTCACTAAAGCCATTTCTTAGTAGAAGCATGATAGTCATGTGCGAGCAAGAAGGATTGGAGATGTTAATAGTTGGCTATAGTGCAAGTGGGAGATTGTTAGTGTGCCCTTAAACCAATTCTACTTTGTACTTGTGATTACGACATTTATTATTTATATGAGATTTTTTTATCTCATATTAATTGTGTATTCTTCTGCATGCATTAATATCGACAATATCCTTAAGATGTCCACAGCATAAAAAAGTAATAATAGTCATCAATATTAGTGAGAATTATATAATACAATAACAACATTCTTAAATTATCTAATAGTCACATATATATTATTGAAATAAGATATCAATGATATAAAAACTATCATGTTATACTTTGTTAAGTAGCAAGATTTCTTCTCGCAAAGTCGTGTATTACATGTAGGTAACTCAAAATAAATGAGTGCACTAAATTGACCTACCATGAGAACTTTACATGTGTCATTAGTAGCTTTAAAGCTATGACGTGTGTGTAAATGATCCTTTTACTTAAGATCATCATTGTTCTATGCAAGGTGGTATCATGTACTTTGATGCTATTAAATACAGCCACTTCTAAGGGTTGTGAGTACTACAGTTATTGATTGTATCACGAATTGTATGAGAATAATGGACAAGTCAAGATGGGTTCCAGCACTTTTATTGAGATGAGACTACTTATAAAGTCCATGCCATGGCAACAATGAATATTCATTTAAGAAGTATGTTTGTCTTGGAAATCAAAAAAAGATATATGAAGCTTTAAGAATAATGAACATAACATGCTTTTTACTTGATAGAGATGGCAACAACAAAAGGATTGAATTACACGTGTATTGATCATAAGAAGATTCATTGAAACCATCAACTCTATCACTTTAAGGGGCCTTAAGGTGTTACTGCTCTTGATTTGTGACTGTTTCTTACTATTATCATGATAAAAACCTAGAGGGTCACACACTTAGTGTGTTTTGAGTATTGGGATTTCTATAAATCTAAGTTTGTAGATATAGATCAATTTATATGGAAATAGTACTTTCACAAGAAAAATAAATTAATCAAGATTCGGAATAAATTAGTAGATAAAATTAATTTAATTTAATTAATTCAAGTTTGGATTTATTTTAAGTTAAAGATAAGAAAAATCTAAAGTGACAATTAAGTCCTTGAAGGTCTTGTGCGCTAAAACCCTAGTTTATCGAACTAGGACTTGAGCAACACATGGGCAAAGAGGCCCATGGCCAGCACTCCTAGTCCGACAAGGACTAGGGTGTGCAGCAAAAGATACAAAAAAAGGGGAAAGAAAGGAGAGTCCTTTCTTTTTGAAATTTCTATTTTGACTTGAATTCTATTTTAACTTGAACACCAATTTTGGTAATTCTAATTGAATTAAAATATCTTCTATTCCTATTAACATAAATAGAAGTAAAAGATATAAACCTTAGTTGATTTTTCCATTATAAAATTTTAGACCACTAAAATCATTCTACCAGAACACTCAAGGAGGAACTTTCTAAGACTCAATCTTCTTCAAATTCCCAAGCATCACTAGAGGAACTCTATACTTAGATTCTTGGGTGGCTTCATTAGGGGATAGTAGTCACTTGAATTCTTGGGTGGCTTCATCAAAGAACGATGGTTAGTTCTACACAAAAAACTCTTCCTTAATTGTCAATAGATTCATAAAGATTCTAAGTGAGTTGATTAAATTTTTAATTTTTTTCTTCCGTTGCACCCTCCTAGACCCAACACGTAGCAGGTTTCCAAATACACAAAAAAAAAAAAAAAACCAATCCAATAAGGAAATGCATAAAAAGATGGTAGTTCCTTTGGTCTATCAAAGAGTTGTATTAACATCCACATTTTACAGCAGTTTGAACAAAATCCCTATTAATTTATTACAGCCTGTTATCATTTGAAATACAATGCGCAATACAATGTGCCCTGAGGTTATAACAAGCTCCCAACCCACCCAGAAAAAATACCAACACACCCACACATTAGCAGCCCCCTTCTTACCAAGTTCTGTGAGAATGTTATTGGATGAATGGCATTCACATACCAAAAAATCATGGTAAATGACAAATTATTGGCAATTATAATAAATTTCAGAATGTTAGTTAACCTGAAGCACTTCCCAACCAGCACCATTACTGAGATCCAGAAATTTGACAGCTTCTAGCAAGTGGTCATTGGCTAAACAATACCTGCCAAAATAGTAATAATGAAGACATTAAAGAAAGGTAAATGGGAGGGGCTGCCCCAAAGGTATTCTGAAAAAGAAAAAAAGAAAAGAAAAGGAACTGATGATAGGCAGCAGATTTGCCCACAAGGTCCAAAGGCAACAGGCAAGGCTAGGATATTGATTCTGCAACATGATGTTGACAAATAATTTTGAATCCATGCAATGGGGTCTCAGTTTCTCACAACTCTGGAATAGTAACTGAAGTTTATCACAGTAGAGCAGTCTAAACCGATTTACATCAAAAGCAGAAACACCAGATAATGGTTAGCAATCTTCATATGACCCTTTAGTGCCATGATGCCCTATTTCCATTTAAATTTGAACATACAAATATATGAATCTTCATAGTTAGCACATAAAATATTATTGGGTTTAATTCCTTATGATTAACAATTTAATCAAATGTCCATGCAAATTTAATACAAAATGAATATTTACTTGCTAAAAGGCTAGAAATTAGGATCCTTATCATAAAAACACATGCATGGAACTAGAACTAATCATTCTTACATAAAGTTGCCAATCAAGCTCATTTTCATTACCATGAATGGATGATGAACCATTGATCCTTATATTCTCAATATTGGTAAAGAACTGCACAAGTGGTGGGGCTGATTGGCACCATGTCATCCCTGTTTTATGTTTAGACAATGCACAGGGATCCGTGGCTAACAGATCATATTTATTGATTGCTTTAGTAACATGAACGACCTCCCAATTATAAGTATAATATTCTAATTCTGAGAAAACTACCTTTGTGGTCTGGTTCTGAACTTTGGTCTCACATATTGGAAGAATGAGACGCATTCCAACTCAAGGGAAAGCTACTGCAAAGTGCATTAAAATTTGTAGGGGAAGTAAACAAGGAAGAAGTCATTCAGACCTCTCTATAAGTGATCTCTTAAGTAAAGATAAGGTGATGGTTTTATATTGGTTTTATTATCTCAATATATGACTGAAGGAACAACATATAGTACAACAATAAGTACTA